AAATGCGTGAATGATCTTGCTAGTCTGCTGATAAAGAGTTTAAATTAACATGCATTAGCATCCCTAGGAGTCCCAGACCCAAAATGAGAAATTGTTCAACTGGTGGTTTTTAGTAAAGCAGAACTTTAAATTTTTCATTGTTTTATGTGTGCTCTTGAGTGTGGCCTCAAGGACAGAGGTCCAAAATGGGCATTTAGGGGGTTGGAGGAAGGTCAGGAGCAAGTGGGAGAAGTAACAGGTAGAAGGAATTCTGTTTAAAAAGTCTTGCCCTAACTGGATAAGGGAATTTATTAATTCAATTGATTCAACTTTTCCTGCTCATTAGAAACCATACACCATAGACTGTTATGAGAGGTGGACCCTTCCAATGTCTCCAGTGGCACAGTCTACCACCACCTACTAGAACATGTAATATTTTGTACTATACATGTATGTTAATCAGTACATTTATGAACATCTGCATTTGAAATAGCAAAGAAAGGTCAACCTTTTCTAAATAGTAACTGCAAACACTCCCCCTTTTCACCCACCAAATCCAAAAAAGCTTTTTGAGTGCACTTTTAGGGTGGTGCGATATTCCACAAAGCAGAACTACACAAAACTTCCAGTTTTCACAGTGTAAATGTCTACGTGTGAAGTGCTGTATGACTGATTCATATCTACAAACTTGACTCAGACCACTGATTATCCATACTGAGTAACTAAAGCCATTTTCCCTCCACTACCACAGTGAAAATTGAGGCATTCCTCATAAGGCAACTTTCTTCAAAATACAGTTATTTTCAAAGTGGAAGAATTTCGGACTGGCATGACAGTTGAGATCGAATCCTGACTTTCATTTTTGCTGTATAATCAAAGTGAAAGAGAAGGGGAAGAAAGTTTGGCTTTAGTTAAACAAACAAACCCTCACTTTTGAGAAATGTCTTGTTTTCTGCCTGGTAGCAAGAGTTTGCTTGCAACTTAAAGCCCTGACAAAACTCAAGATCAAAGCCCAGAGCAGTATGTCCTACGTCCTCAGAAAATTTCCTTAGCTACACCAAGTGACTGGTAGGGCTTATACAGCCTCTCCTGTGGGAAACACAGTCGGAGGAAGGAATTGACGATGAGAAGACAACAAAACACCTCTCGGGTTTCCTTGGCATGACAAGGCAGATAGGCCAGCGACGGAATAAGAAATGCATTATTTCAGTTCACTGAAGGACCTTCAGAAAAGGATCATAGAATGATTTGGGTTGGAAAGGACCTCAAACCCTCTCTAATCATCCGCACAGGTTCAGCCTCTGTACCTCCCTTCTGTCTCTAAGACATCTCTCTGATCACAACACTGGCTCCTACAGCAGTTGTTTGGTGTAGTTTGGAGTAATCTGTGGGCTGATGAACATTTCAAATGAGAAAGAAAAAAAAAAGGAAAAAGTTGTTTTTACCCATGTTATATTGACATATTATTTCACAAGTAAGAAAGAGAGCAGACATCATTTACTGCCAAATATATATATATATATTTAACAGATGTTAGTAAGCAGAAAGAGTGTTACATCATGGATCTGAGGGCAGATACCAACATAAAATTCACATTCTCAGTTTTGCATCACCTGTGTCATTAAAACACACACCTTAAGCACATGGGAAGGGGCAGAAATGGGTATTGGGCTCCACAGCAAACAGACATTTACAAGCCACCATGAAAGCAGCCTGTGCTGAGTAAAAAGGCCAATATAAACAAATCAGATACACAAGGGGCGTGGAAGAGAGTGGTATTGAAACCCAGAGTCAGCACAGAGGAGCTGTTGCTCAGAAGAGAAGTATTGCTACACAGTTTGAATAGGCTTCCTGTGGCTGCCCATGAAGACTAGCATCTGGCAAGGCAGCCTGCTGTACTGAAGAGGGAACTCCTTTATCAGGGCTACAGAAAATAGAAACAGCCGCAAAGGTGGGAGAGCAGGTTCACAAGCCCTAGCTGAGCTTTTACTGCTGCTCTTACGCTCTTGGACATGGTATCTCAATCTTTTTTGACACACAATTCTGTGGGTAGCCTCATATCATATCAGATTTTCTCAAGTCGACTAAAACATACGAATTCAAAGCTCTAAAGGGTGTTTTTGCAATGCAAGCATGCATAGCACTAACTTATACCAAGTGAATCTCTGTTGAGTTTGGTTTACAGTGTACAATTAAAAAAAAAAAAAACAAGTAATATTTTGGTTTTTCAACATAGTTTACATAGTAAAAACAGGCAAACCATGTCACTTTTAAAAAAAGTGATAAATTTAAAAACAAGAAGTGAAACAGTGCAGATACCTGAAACTACACCAATTCTGCTTGCTTTGCTACACTACCAACAGAAATAGCTCTGTCCTGTTTAGATAGACTTTGTTTTGTTACATGACTGCATATGCAGCGAAGTGATATCAAGTCCTGAGGGTCCACTCCTTTGATGAGTTAAGCACACAAAGGCCCACATTTTGATGCAATCTGATATCATATATTTAAGTCCTAGACAAACTGCAACTGTGAGGAAGTGATAAACAGAACTTCCTGCACAAAGCTGCCTGAGATAACACTTTCCATGGACTGGAAAAAAAGAGACATGATTGCTACAGAACTAAAAGGGAACTGTTCTGCTCTTAATAAATAACCCTTTCTTTTTCACGTGGCTATTGCAAAAGCCAAGGCACAAGTGACTAAGATTCAGCAAGCAGCTGAGTGGTGCTACTCACACATTTCTAAAGTGATTCTTTGAGGAACTACGGCCAAATTTTGCTCTTCAGAGACGTGTTCTCCTGAAAACTCCAATGCTGCAGCTGGAGGCTTGCAACTCAGAAACCTTCCAGCTAGTAATATTCTTACTTACATTAAAAAAAAAAAAAAAAAAAATCTCAGAAGGAAGCCAACCACAAAATGTTTAACTCATAAGGAGGAATAAAGAGTAACTGCTTAAAGTCTATGTTCCCTCCAGTGTAGGAAAAATCCTGTAGAAAACATGACATGTTGCCACAGTTTCCCCTCAATTTTTCACCAGCATCAACTCAAAATACAAGAAATTTAATATATTTATAATTGTTTTGATTTTACTTTGTGAATATTTGAGCAGCTGAATTTTCCTCACAGTAGAGCTTGTGGGGGAAATGAGCTTCAACTTGTTCTGGTATAAAGAGTCTTTGAGAATTTTTGCCTTGAAGCCATTATACTTTTTCTTTCATTTAGTTCTGTGCACATCTTGCTATATTTTCAGCTCATATTGTTTTTTTCAAAAGCACAGGCTGTGTAACCAGTCCAGAGAGAAGCAACTGCAGCATATTAAAAAGCAATCAAGCGCTACCAATAGCTGAAGAGTTTTACAACTTCTGCTTCTGTTGCAAATTTATGAAGTAATAGGGGAAACACAACGACAGGCTAAATTAATGCAACAGCTCTGTGGTGATATTCCCAGAGATCTGCCCTGCACTGTGTTCCTGAACACATAAAGAGTCCTAGTGTGAACATTGCTTCTGGTCCCATTGGACTCTGTGTATTGGGGATCAGACCTAAAGCTGACCATGATGCATGCACCAAGCTTATGATCTCATCACTGTTGAAGCTGCCATTAGCATGCCTGTGCTGAGCCTGAGCAAACCAAGACAGAGCCACAAATAACTCCAAATTATTACATATATCACCAAAACTCTTTAAAAGAGTCTTTCTAAGTGGATCGTTTCACCAGTCTGTTAGATCACAACCATGGCAGCAATCTGTATGCAGGCAGAAAAAGAACAGGAGAATCAGATTTGCCCCTGAAGAAACTGTAAGTGGGAACACAACCCAGCAAATGCTAATGACTATGCAACCAGAGTAATATACTGCAGAAAATCCCAAGCCTTAAACTGAAATCTTTCACACCCTCAATAGATTCACCATAGCAGGAGATAATTTTCTGGATAGCTTCTTTGTTGTATACTTGAGAAAAGAACCAAAAGTTGTGGCTGACTATGTGCTCTCTATGCTTTAAGACAGAATAACTGCCATGGTGACAGCAACAGGTTATAATAAAGTAAATTAAGCAAATGAAAAAACAAACATGCTTGCCAATTTTGTCCTACTTTCATTCCTTCTGCAGTATCTTGCGAATACTGAGAGAGTTTGTAATTAAAAATTGTTTGCTTTACCTTTAATCTTCTAACTTTGTTAGTTTTACTCTGAGCATTTGTACATTCCCACCCCTCAGAGCGATACCTCCAGCAGGTGAGTTAACATAAATCAGTTGGACAGCAATTTGCCTTTTTCAGGTACGAGATGTTACTGAATTTACTGAACACACTTCATGAGCTCAGGGGCTTCTTGTTCACTTGGGAATTATGGTAGAAAGTCATTGAACAAACATTTTTATCATTATCAGAAAGTTTCATTCTCATTACATTGAGTTATCTTGAAAGCACTATTCAGTACAACGTTTGAGTAACTAGTTTATTGTTACTGAGATAGCCTGGTGATAGGCACCTTAGGGAAAAAAAAAAAAAAACACAAAACTGGAGCAGTAGACCAAACCAGAAGCAGCAAATGCCCTCAGTCTCCTCCTCTTTTAATACAAATATAATTGAAAACCTTCACAGTGGCAGCAATCTCATAATGGGATTGAGTTCTCTATCTCAGCTATGGATTAATTATTGATTTTTCATTTGCAAAAACAATTCAGCACAGCAGACACTTGTGACTGCACAGCGTGCTCATATGATGTGAATCAGTGGACAGAGGAGACTTGTGCGTCAGCAACTAAATCTTAAAACAAATAGAATGTCACTTAAATAGTGCAAAAATAACAAATAAGAAACTATTTGATTTTTAGCATTGCTAATGGAATACTGTGCCAACTTTGCTCTGCCTAACAAGTCTCAAGAAGCTTCTCCTGGGAATGTTTACATTGTGTTTCTATCCAGGCCTCATATTTGCTTTGAATTGTGACAACAGTTTGACCGTTTTCATGTTAAAAGCTTCCTGCCTTTGTCATGAAAAGGGCTTTTCATCAATATCTGTAGACAACAGTCAAAACAGGAATTCAGGAACACTGCTGCAAACTGTATGAGGACATATCTGGAAACACTGGTTCCCCAATACCATGTCCACAGCACTCCCTGAGCATAGCTTCAGCACATGCTGGGACCATGAACCATACCAAGAACGAAGTAAGAGAGCCTTGGGGCCCAAATCCAACTGCTGCTGCCTGCTTGGAAGGAGGTAGGGTGAGCAGGTGGTGCTGCAGGAGCCTGTAAACAAAGGACAGAGGAAGCATGGAGAGGGACCTAGAGCAGAAGGACAGGAGGAGAAGGATCTCTCATTCCAACCCATTTTGGCCAATGTTTGTAGTTATGAAGAGTTATGTTCGGGGTATAGCCTGAGGAATTCAGGATGAACAGTGGGATCTGCCCCATTAACCTTAAGTACACTTTTCAGAGCCCCTGAGAATGTGGGAGTAGTGCAAAAAATACAAAGTCAGCTATGCTGGCAGTTACAGAAGGTATTTATGCATTTAAAACTTTCAAAAATTATCCGTTTTCTGGTATAATAGATGAAGAATATTGGCAAGAACACTCACATCTTGTTAAGGTGTGAAAAGTAATCAGTACAAAACATTTCAAAGAAGTCTCTATGCCTATAACATGTGCATACACATGTGTGTATGGTAAATGTATGTGATGAAATTTTCACATCTGATATTAGTCTGTTTGGGTTTTGATGTTTCTCATTTAACACTGCAGAACAACTTAGAATTTTCACCATTGCCAAGTCAAATAAATTATTTATGTCAAAGGAACTTGGAATATAATACCTCCCACCTATGTGAAACTCTGCATAAAGGTAAGACCACGTACGAGACCAAAATAAAAACTGGTCAGGCAGAAGTCTGAGTGTCTTTCCCTGGAAGAATTATTTACCTCAAAATTTTAGAGCACTGAAGAGAAATCGGAAAGTCTGATTCGCATCTCAGATTGTCTTAGTTGAGTAATGAATAGTCTGAACTTCCTTTTTTTTTTTCTTCAGTGTAGTCAAATAATGATTATGCAAAGTGTACAGTTCTAAACAGCTAATTAAACAGCAGCCCCGAATCTTTACAGCTGAATAAGCTGCTTTAAAAAAAAAAAAAAAAAGCCAGAAACAGTGCTACTTGTATAACTTCTTCTAAAAAACAGGACCAGCTACTTGTAGTTGTTCACCTCTCCACACATTTTACCTGAGCAAATAGTCACCACCTACAAGACTCTGAGCATTTTTCTATTAGAGCATTTTCCATCTGAAGGTTTCAGGGAAGGTACTCTATTTTTTAATGGAAGCCATCAAGAAAGTAAAAAGAGTAATGCAAACAACTGCAATAGGTACTAGAGAGCCAAGATGCATCTTCACTCAGAATGAAAGCATAACCAAATTACATAGTACCAAAGAGACAAGAAAGCCTTACTCTTTTCCAATGGTAATTTTAGAACAGCCTTCAAGTCAATTGTGCCTTCTTCCCAGCAGATAAATACAGAAACTTATGCAATATATTTATTCCCATTTAACTAAGATTCGTACACTTCGAGACTCGTGGCAATATCTCCCAATAGCTACTAAGTAAAAGGCTGCTTTTTAAACACTGTCCTTGAGTTAAGCTTGACACCTGGGATTATATAATTGCAGCAGCCTTATAGTGCAACAGCAGAAACATTCTCCAAAATCAGTGCATTTGTCTGTAGTTCGTAAGCAGTGATCTTGACAGTTACTACAATCTACTCTGGAACAAACAAAAGCAGTAGCAGGAGTTATTTTAATGCCTATTTGAAAAGCTCTGTGATCTTCTGGACATCCATTAGTCAAGCATCATTTCTTCAAAGTTCATTAAAAAAACAACCAAATGTTGCGATAAGAGTCACCTTTCAGTAGTTTGTAGTACTTTTTTTTTTTTTGAAACCTGGAGAGAACCTGAAATAAAACAATTCTCATTCAAGCACCACATTAGTCCAGTCACAGAAGGTTGGTTCCTCAACAATGTAATTTAATGCTTTAGCTGCTCTTTATACACTCTAATGGATGCACTTAACTATGAAAAAACAGACATGGATACCTATGAACTGTTTTAGTAGGAGCAGCACCCATGATAGCATTTTAATCAGATGTGGAGCTGTTTCTCTTTCTAGTTGCCATTATTGTAGACAGTTGTATTTAAACTTGAACTCTGAACAAAGTTATCAGGCACCTAAAGAATAAAGCATTTTGTCTATAAACGTATAGGAGTAATACTTGACTCATATGGGAAAAAAAAAAAAAAAACAACATAAAACCTTACTTTGTTAGGAAATACTTGTTAAAATCTTATTTGGATTTGGACACCATCTTCTTAAACCCATCATAACAATTTCATTTTCAGAAACGTTTTAACATTTAATTTTTTGTCCACATTTGCATATACTTAATGGTGCATATCACTTATTACTTTTGGGATATACACTAAAAATAATCAAATTATGAAAGCATGAGGTGATTTAGAAATAACAAAGACAGTGTAAAGCTTTTCATATCTTTTATGACATCAGTGCTACTTTGTGCAATAGGATCAAATATCAGATTTGTACTCTGACAGCCAGCTGACTCAAGTACTTAGTATTTATTGTCCTGTTATCTCTAAGTGGGCTCCTCAACAGCAGAGAAAACTATGTGAGACATTCTTGAGACTGTGTTTGACTAACTTGCTTGCCTATGTCTCCAGGGTGTTAAGTGAAGTCTGTCACTATCCCAGAAAAGTTATTTAGCTCCTCAGCTTTCACAAACTTATATATCCTCATTATCTGCCATTTCACTTGAGGAGTGCAGAAGACCTGAGCCATAGCAGCTAATGAGTTTATGCAGAGCACAGGGATGAGGTGCCAAGCTTGCTCTTCCCCTGAAAAACCATCACTCAGGTGTGGATACAAAGATGGCTGTCAGAGCATAATCTGGACATAGTTTTTCCACTAATTCAAACCACTTCATCAGAAAAAGGCTGACTAGAGGATTTCTGCAAATTGTTGTTTCCTGAGACACCGATTTTCAGGTCACAAAACTTTCATCACAGGCAAAATTCACTGTTACAGAGCATGGTTAACTGGAGCATCATGAGGTTACACAGGTCACAGGGCTCACTGATGTTACTTACCAATCTCTGGAGATGCACTGTTGAAACTTAGGCTTCCTGAAAATGTTGGCTAGTGTGCAGAGATGCTGTGGCTGAAAGGAGCAGCTTTGCCATTGTTCAGGTGTGTGATCTTACTGCATCTCTGAGAGTGAGCAGCCATGAAACCACATGACCAGTTAGATCAGGAAACTTCAGCTGAAATTAACCTGAAAAAAAAACACAAATAAAGTGGTTAGTTTTCACTAGCATGAGTTATCACAAAGTGTATGGAGACAGTGACTGGGGAGAGAAGAACCAGAAAATCCTTTTTGACTGCAAAATGTCTTACAGCAATGCCAGAACAATTGGAAAGGGACTGTAAGCTACCACAAGCTAGTAGGAGCATTTGCAAGAATATAGAACTGGGCTGTTTAGAAATAATATACTGGCCATATGCTTCTACACTGTTTCCTGATGAGGATTCTAAAAACTCAGTGAAGCTCACAAACAGCTCCTTGGTAGATATCATCACTCCAGCCTTACAGGAATGAATCTAAGGGTGAAACACGGGCCATTTGTTTGAAACAAAAAGCAAGTTTGTGGAAGACAAATGGAAACAAACAAACAAAAAAAATAAATCAAAAACAGCAATTCTTGTCTCCCATCACTATGTTAATCAATATACCAATTGTGACCAACTTGCGGAACATTAAGAAATGCCCCCCTGAGTATTTGCTATGAGTTAGGCAAATGAGCAGCTGTGTCACCACACCAGCACTCGCATGGCTGCACTGAACAGCACATCCCACAGTGGCTGGTGAGCTGAAAGCCCAGAGGGGAAAAGACAGGAACAGAGGAGGGAAGGCAAATCAGGAAAGACACAGGATAGGAATTAGACATGGAAATGAAACCAAGAGATTTTAACAGCAGGTTCTCAGATGTTGACGAGCTTGCACAGGATCTTCCTTGTCATGAGATTTAGAAGGGAGCCACTGGTTATTGTGTTGTCTGTCAGCAAGTCAATAAGAATGCGTATCGGCCCATGTGCCTACTGCTTGGTTATAAGAAGGAAAAAAAATAATACTACCAAACTAATACTATTGGAGAAGGAAAAGAGATTTTACTTTACTCCACTTCAAAAACAACACATTACATAATGGTAAAATGATCTTTTTCCCTTCTTCAGAGCTTGTACGAAGCCATGCAAAAATATATATTGTAGACTCTGGCATTTCCTTAAGCATTATACACAAATGTAAAACACTGCTTTCTCTATAGAGTAACAGAAAACAGATTAACACAATCTGAAATGGTTCCTAACTCTGACGTTCCTTTACACCACTTTGGATTTGCACAAATGATGGCAGAAGATGTGGGGCAATGGATATTCATACCTCACCTGTTTATGTTGCAGATGCTAGTTGGCTGTTAAGTATTTTTATCTTGTGGTTTTATAGCCTCCTCTACAACAAATGAGCAAGAAGCCTTTGTCCTCAAAACCATGAAGACTGGAGAGTTTACACAGGCCTGTGAAAGATAGCAAGATCTGATGAGCACACAGCAAACAGGTCCACCAAGTAAGATTCAGTATGTACTGACTCGTTTTCATCTGTCTTACATATTAAAAATGTTGTTTATAAAGTGATCTTTTCTGAGTTAGAGAGGTCAACTTGACTTAAATTGTAGTAAATTCTATTTTAACCTCTTCAATATTTCTAGTCACAGTGCAAATATACTCAATTTTAAAGAGGCCCAACCTCTTCCTTCAGTAAGCTACAAATGAACCATGTTTTTTTCCTCCAGACCTTAGGTGGTCTCTACTGTTCACTTAAAAAAATAAAAATTAAAAAAAATTAAAAAAAAAAAAAAAAGAAACCACAAAATTCATTACAGGAGAGTCTTGGGAAGAATTGAAGGTTATAAACCCAGCTGCCATCCAGCTCCTTCCCCTCACACTGGGGACAGATCTGAAGTGATTTAATTTCCCTGGCATTTACTGTTTGCTGTGCATGAGCAGACAGGTCTACTCCAATATGAGCACTAGGGAGCCAGAAGATATTCCAGATATCTGGCCCAGCTAACTATCCAGCCCATTATGTGCACAGGCTTATTTCTTCTTCCTCTCCTCAGAAGCATTTCTAACCACAAATAGAAGAGCTGTTTCATTGAGGTAAGCAGCCAAGAGGTTCTCAGCGAGGAAATGGCAGGGCAATAGCGGCAGTCCCTGCCACAGGACAAGTCTGTGGGCTCTGGCAGGGCCTTGCACCATGGCTTCTGCTCAGCTGCTGCAGAGGAGCTCTCTCAGTGGCATGCAGATCTGTGATCAGTTGTTAAGTGTCAGCAGAAGCCCTGGGAAAGGGAATTGGGTGGCAGTGGTGACAAGGATGGGACAGAAGCTTTATAGAAGAGAAGGGTGTCCTGAGAAGATATCAGTCCTTCAGTGTTTCACAGACTCCAAGGAAATATCAGTCTAGAAATTCTAATCAAGGAAGCATCTGGATATCTACTTTTAATGCCTTTCCCAACCAGCTGCTTTGCCAACAGCTTCCTCTCCATTCCTACACCAGGATATGCATTTAACTGATCTGTGACATTTAGACAACATAAGGTCATAAAAGGGAGTTGGGCAATGTTAAAGCCATTTGCCAGGCATGTGATTCCATTGCAGGATAGATATGTTTAGAGGATTTCTCCTAGGCAGGAACAAGAGCTGGAAACGAGCTATAACAGCTCGTCACAGGACTTAGCAGCTGCTCTTTCATTAAGCTGCCTGCTGCATATATCCCAGCACAGCTATAATTTAAGATGCGCTAGCAAACATCGAGAGGTTGTGCCAGGATCTGTATAAGTCACAAAACATTATAGAATGAAAACATGCTCTAAGAGGAGTAATTTTTTATCCTCTGTGCTTTCCTGAGGTACTCAAAGTGAAATTTTTACAGGAACTTGCTATAACCTAATTTCAGGTGCATTTACACAAATTCAGAAGAAACATCCCAGAAACAACAGAGGGTCTTTACACTGCCACCACCATTGCATACACCAGAACACAGCCCTCTGAAGAACATCCTGAGGCCAGACATGAGGAATGCTTAAAAGATTCAACACAACCCAACTGTTTCAGGCAGGAGTTTCTCCTGCACGCTATAAACAATAAACTAAAGGCAACTTCCTTAAAAGTTTGCTGGAAAGCCATTTATGTCATCATTACAGGCATTTCCCCCAGTGTTTTCATCTTTGTTGTTTCAATCTTTGATAGTGCGGGAAGGAAATCAGACAACTTGTGGATATTGCTGCTACCCTTCAGTTCTACTGATAATGGTTGTGGAAACATACACACAAGAATAACTTCCTGAATGAAACAATATTTAGCACGTATAGAAGCTTTTGTTCTTGTTGTCTAGAGAATACATAGTTTTGCACACTTATGGTGACTTTTAAATGCCCACAAGGAATACCAGTAGAACATATTAATATTCTCTTTGAGAAGAAAAAGAAAAAAGCAGTCAAATCAAGTGTTGCGTTCTCCCCCCTCCCCCCAAGCAGAAAGGACAAATAGATACACACTAGCTTCATTTTACTTAAGCCAGTTGTGTCATACAGGAAGCGTTACTCATTCTAAATTTGATGTTGAATTATTTTTCAACAACCAAGATGAGCACTGGACATAACTTCACTCCTTTTTGCTTCATAATCTTGGATAGATTTTTCAAGACAAGAAGCTGGCACGTCTGCCAGCTGAAACACATTCATTTGCAGAAGTAAAAATACAAGGCTTTTATTTTCCTGCACTCCAAATTAAAGAAATTCTGAGTGATCTGGTTGAACACAAGCATTAAAAGAAGTTCCTGAAGAGTATAGTCATAAAAATAAGAGTTTGCTTTGATCGTTGTTGTTGTTTTATTTTGCTTTAAAGTAAGATATGTTTCTTTAAGTGACTTATATTCGTATAAGATAACAATAACTTGAGAAATAAAAATAGCCACACTGCCAAAAATAGCAGATACCTACTATGGTGGATAACAAGGAAAGAGAGCAAAAATAAACCAAAATGATGGATAAAAAAAGGGCAAATCAAATCAGTTTTTTACAACTTCTTACGCTTACCTGTTTCTTTAATCATAAATGTTAAAAAACAACAAGGACATCACTACTGTTCATTTCAGGTCTTCAGAATAGAGGCAAGGAAACAAAGTGGGCCAGAGGAAGTAAATTAAGTAAGAACAACAAGATAACAGGTGTTTCTTATTTTTGTTCATGGTAGGTGAGTAGTAGGCTCGTCATTTCCTGAGACAAAATTCAGACAGCGATTTCTAAGAAATCAGGGGCTTTGTAACTTTATTAAGCTTAACTTTTCCTTTCTCTGCGCTGGAATATGAAGAATTATTGGATAATCATACTACATTACCTAATTAGCAGTTTGGAGCTTTAGGATACATGGCAGTGAGCTCACACAGCTTACTGCAAAGTGCTCTCTAATTTTGAACTTGTGCAAAATTGGCCTGGTACTGGTGTTTCATAATGGGTTAAAGACAGCAACATCTTTCCTTTTCAGGCCACTGTGTAATGTAGTTATCCAGCTCATCTGAACTGGGTTGAGTCTGACAATGAATGGAAACAAAGCATACAATCTGATGCAATAAACAATGCAATACATGGAGCTGGTGACACCTCTCTGTCCTGGGTCAAGTCTATGTCTCTTTGCTCACTTTCTACTGCATAAACAGATGCCAGAAAGGTGTCTCTCTGTGTGTCAACCTCACACATGAAAGCTGCTGAGACAGTGAGATCACAGAGACTTTGCTTGGGTGTCATCCTGGAAAAACAGAAATACTGAATCAAAGGTGTCAGGATTTTCAAGTGAGTAAAGAGCCATTCCCATGAGCTCAGTGGCCTCTGCTGACTAGCACTGATGAGTCCTCAAAATTTGATTTCGCAGCAGCTCAGCGAAGGAAAGATGCTGTGCCACTGGTCCCATGGGCTCAGCAGGTTCTCATAAGGATGTCATGATAGCAGAAGTTCTTACCTTCAACCCACTGCACTGCTATTTTTGCCTCAACAGCAGCTCAGGAAATTAAGCTGTGTTAGAGAAGTGGTAGCATCATCTGGAAGACCTGGGGCACAGGAACAACACAGCCACCTCACCTTGTCAAACACTGCACACAGGCTGGCAGAGGCAGGAGGGAAGCTCTTCTTATAGCATTTTGAATCACAGGTGCCTCTTTTTCTTCCAGGACTGACCCCCAGAAGACCTCTTCACTCCCTGCCAGGCCTTACAGGAAAGAGTGCTTGTTGCCACCTCATCGCTGCCACTGCATACAGCGAAGGCAGAACCTCTGTGCCCCTGGGGACAGCGCGGAGGGCGGAAGGCCGAGCCCAGGGAAGGAAGGAGTGGGTGGACTGAAGAAGGCACAAATATGTCTGACTTTCCTCCCACCTTCTAGTGGGGCGTACTGGGGAAATTGGTTTGTTTGCCCACTGTTTACTCTTCCTGAAGCAGAAGGAGAAATTAAAGCCTGTAGCTGAAATAGTCACTGGACAAAGCCAAGGATTATTGTGCCTTAAAGGCAATGGTGGGTAAATGCTGACAACAAGGAGCAGAGACATGTGGCAACTGAAGTTCTTAAAACACGTTGTGTCCTCAGCGCTGGGACATCTTGGCAGAATATAAGCTGTCAGGATTAGAAGTGTTTTTTTCTTTTGTTTTATAAAGGAAAGGGATCATCATGCCTGTGACACAAAAAGTATTGTTTTCAATCTCCTAAGCAGCTTATTTTCCACGTACTTCCTCAACCAAAAGTCAGTCACTAAAGCTGAATGCCCATCTTACTCGCAATGTTGCAAACATTGGCTCCCATGGGAGCAACCATACAAAAAGGAAGGATAAGCAGGATACATTTTCCGTGTCACTGGACTGACTGTCCTTATAGTTCTGGACAAAATTCAGACCTGATCTGAAGGTCTGCAATTCATTTCATTTTGGCAACCATAAGGCGTGCTTCCTAAATACACACCCATTTCTTATTTCTAAGAGAGTTGCCACACTAGGGCTGTCACATGGCTAATTCAGTAATTAGCCAGCATTTTTTCAATTAATCTAGTAGTAAATCCTTCGTCTTCCAGAGCAGGTCAGTGATTGGGCGCAGGACATCAGAGTAGCATTTCTTACTCATATTGCAGTCAGCTTTTCATTATCATTTTACCAATTCTGATAAAACTAGTCAAGCTTTCTGCAAGCAGTTTGACAAAACAAAAGATGCTACAGGGGAAATGGAAACTCCCTAGCCATAGTGCTTCAGCTCCCTCAGCAGTGGAGCAGCAGTTAGATAATTTTGAGCCACTTAGTCAATTTATTTTTGTACCATCAAAACCTGGTTTACAGTCTGGAACTTATCTACTATAATACAGCCAGATGAACTTATGATCAACCTATTATAAAATGATGAAAAACAAAGGTTTTAAGGAAATGACAACTGACTCCTCTCCATAGCAGCACAGTGCTACAAGAGACAGCTGTAATGGCACAAATGGGTGGTTTATCAGCCTTCTGCCAGCACTGACAAAATCATGTCAAATGAGGCATTAAAGCCCTGCTTTTGGAAACTGTGATAAATACCAGCTAATCTACTGACATAATATCTATTGAGTCAAATATTTAGTTTTGCATTAAATCTAAATCCAACATTAGAGCATTTCCTTTTGATTAAAAAGGATAAAATGTAGATGTTATTTTATGCTCCAGTTCCCATGTCTAATTAATGCTCTGCATTCGGAGCCATTTCTGACATTACAAATGTATCAGCAAACATGCCAAGGAAAGGGGGGAGGCACAAGGGAAACAAGTGCAAAATCTATATGCTTAATTCATATTTCTCCATTTGCAGTAGCTAACATGTTATTGCAGAGACTATTTGCAGACACTTGCCCTGCCAGTGAACAGCTAACTTCCCTGATTGCTTGTATAAACAGTTTTCTAGATGTGGAGACAGACACTGTAGGAGAGGACATTGCTAATTTAATTTTAGTAGCATTGGGAATTAAACATGGGACATCAATAGATTCACAGTAAACGTTGTCTAAGCAATATAAGCATTGTACAAAAGTACTAACAAGAGCTTTAATATTTATAAGAGATCATATTAAAAGGTTTGCAAGAAAGATTATTGTCCTGGGAATGAGATGTATATAATTAGAGAAAAGGTTGCTGCCAAGATGACATAAAACACTTCACTGTTTTTGTATCATATATTACTGACCTTAATGGGCATGAGGAAATCCTGATTTTAAATTTATGTATATTTATAGGGTATTTACTACCTATTCACACCTAGAAATAGAAGGTGGTATATCCTCAAGAATCACTGAGATATCTCCATTCCTCATGAGTTATATTCACAGCATTACATGTGAATTGATTGTTGTGAAGAAACAATTTGTTAATTAGTTTTGTTATCAAATACTTTTACTGTCACACTCTTGTTGCAGTTTGACAAACTCTTCATCATAATTACTCCCTTTCTAGAGAACATTTTAGAGAGCTTAAAGGCAAGGAGGTTGTGGTGAAATGGGGGTCAGATAACAGCAATAGAATGAGAGATTATGTCCTTACGTTGCATCAGGGGAGGTTCAGATTGGATATTAGGAAACATTTTTTCTCAGAAAGAGAGTGGCAATGCACTGAAACACACTGCCTAGGAAGGTGGTGGGATCCCTGGAGGTGTTTGAGAAAAAGGTAGATGTGGCACTGATGGCCATGATCAGTGGGCATGGAGAGGGGAGGGATTGATGGCTGGACTTGGTGATCTTAGAGGTCCTTTCTAACCTTAATGCTTCTATTCTATTTTGTAAAGTCCAAGATGTGTAAGGCAGCGTGAGCTCAAATGAAATGAAATGGAACAAAACAAAGTAAGCAGCCACCTACCACCTCCATTTTGCATAATGTGTTGATTTATTGAATCAAGAAAAAGTCTCCATAGGCTGACAACCCCAGCTAACTCTGCCACAAAAATCAGTAGTAGATACATCCCAGGGCATCTGGTATATCTCAGAGTACTGGAGAATCAGCAACTCATGCTATAAAATAACAGGAGAAAGAAATATAATACAAAGCTTAACAGAGCTTAAAAACATGGACTTCAGAATTAAATATTTTTTATATTCCAGAAAATAACACCCTGACTCTGCACCTTCTCCCCTCACCAAACTTCTCTACAAAGGATTCTTTTAAAGGCACAGCCATGTATTAAAACATACCCATCAGGTTCAGGGTAGAAAATATTTCAGAAGCTGTATGAACTCCACTGCCCATGAACACCTTGCAATATACTCACAGACAGCAGAGGCAGCCCCTGCCACTCATGGGTCCTTTGGGGAGGGTGGCTGCACACACAAGTAATATTCTGATACGACTCACTCTTTTGGTGAGTAGTTGCTTTTATTCTGTTTCCTCAGTATCTTATCTCAAAACCACAAAGAGTTTAAGCAGAATCATAGTTTAGAAAAGCTCCGCATATGCTTGGCCCTGGGCACTTTCCTGAGCTGGCTGTTCACAGAGCTTCCCTGTTCAAGGCAAACAAACAGAAAAGCATATCCCAAATAATTTTGTAGTCTAAGAAACCTAAATCAACTCTGTGTTACTGATACACCCTTCACATTTTCTTTCATGCCATAGCTTTGTGCTATGTGTTTAAAATAACTGCCGGCACATACCATGATACGCAGGAAGATTCCCTGTGAATTGTGTAGGTCTTCTAGTTTATCCTGGGGCTTTGTGCAGAACACAGTTGCCAATTTGTATAATTGCAGAACACAGCACTGGTGGTTTCTTCTGCCTCACACTTTACAATTCAACTGTGTATCTAAAAAAATAACTAACAGGCATACAGGTGTCTCAGGGCTACTGAGACATGGGAACTTGGAGTTATTCTAGACAGCTCTTGGAAGATACCAATTCCATTTCCTAAGAAGTCTGAAGGCTTGTAAAGTCGGGGTACTGGCACCTCTCCTCATCAATGCGGTGTTCTTTTGTTAATTCTTAATTCTTCATAAAATAACAGTCATTTCTGACTACAGATAGACTGTAAGTGACACACAAATTGGCACAGAACCAAAACTATATGGCAGTGGGAATATTCAAAACACTTGAGAAGTCCAAGTCTCACTGTACTTGTTCTAA